CTGGAGCAAAGAAAGTAAGTTTACTGGCCATAAATATTTACTCTCAGACATAAAACCATATTTTGCCTGATATATTTTGCATTAGGAAGCAGAACTGGAATGACAGGAAGAGAAATTTACTGAATAGTAATTCAGAGAAATTCAACACAGGTTATGCGTTCTGTGAAATCTATCTATCTATCTATCTATCTATCTATCTGTCTGTCTGTCTGTCTGTCTGTCATTTGTTTTATATATTGTTTTGTTGTATTGTTCATCTATCATTCTTTCAGAATATAAATCTTAAAAGCTTTTAAAACTAAAAGCTTATAAAGCTTTTAAAACTTTTTTCAAAATGTTTTTCTTGACAATATTTGCTTTTATAGCTAAACTGCATTAAAAAAAATATTTTTCTTCTTTTCTCTTCATTTTAATTTAGTTTCTTCCATGTTAATTCTTAGTTTACCGTACCACTAGACCATATAGTGGAGGAAGGACACCAGTCAATTTGATTCATAAAATAAGGTTTTCATGAAAATATATGCATTTAATATTTTTATTATGAGTTAACAGTTTCATTAAAGCAGTGAGGAGCTCAAGTCCGTGTTGTAAATTGTGAATGTAGTCCTGAAGGTAATGAGTTTTGACTGTATTAATGATGCTCATTGCTTCACTGAATGGTCAGCTAGTTGGTAATTCCATTTTATTTACTCAACAGAGCCGAATTTTTATTAGCAAATGTCATTCACGGGTGTTTATTTTGAACCCTGTGTGCACAGAAATGAATCAAAACAACCAACAGCAGGCAGGATGAGCATATAGAGTGAGTGGAGATGGACCTGGTGTGTCGGTTTGAATGAAATATGTAGTTTGTAAAGTCTGTCTTCATTCTGTGCAGTGACTCCCAGCAGACAGTCGTCTGTTCATTATCCGGAGCCTTTAACTGCTTTCGGTGGGATCTAATGAGATTTGAAGAAATCGAACTCTTTTTTTCCCAATATTCCAATAACAACAATTACATCAAATGTGGTCTATTTAACTTCTTTTTGTAATGATTTGATTGGTTTGGCTGGCGGTTCATGCTTTTCTGGGGTATGATGTCATTCAGAGCATCAAACTGAACGAAGCTCTGGGAGATGTTACAAAGCGAGATACACACGAGTGTGTTTAAGCCTCTGATTTACACTATTAACCAGTCGGAGCGTACAGCACCTCTGAGACACACAGAAAGAGGAAAACGCTGCCAGTTATATTACACACATAACTCACACACACACACAAGGAAACCTAGTGGAAGAACCATTACACTAACAAACACATACATACAAACACACACACACACACACACA